TCCGAAATGGTATACTGTAGGGTTTCCTGCCTGAGCAGGAGGTTGGACTAGATGACCTCCAAGGTCCCTTCCAACTTTATCATTATTATTATTATTATAACACACAAAAATCCATGGAGATTCTCAGTCCTCCTGATCATGGTTGTCCCAAGCTGCTTTTTCAAGAGGCAACTGGACTTACTTTGTTTTTCTTTGAAGACGTTTCGCTTCCCATCCAAGAAGCTTCTTCAGCCCCACGATCTAGTCAGAGCTGAAGAAGCTTCTTGGATGAGAAGCGAAACGCCTTCAAAGAAAAACAAGGACGTCCAGTTGCCCCTTGAAGAATCGCCTTGGGACTAACAGACAAAGCTGTAGATGCTGAAGTTTTGAAGTTACCAATAAACAGGTCTCCCATCATCAAATGCCACTTAAACTAGAGATCAAAAATCATAGGAAGCCTCTTTCCGTTTGAATCAATGCAAGAATCAGCTTCTGCTTCTTTGGTGCTTTTTTTGGTCATGACATCCAATGTCCTTCCTTCTCTTTCTTTTCTAGTTCACTTCTTCATTTACGACCACGAATTCATTAGCCAGTATTGCCAAGTATCTGCATTTCTAGAGCTGGAATCGCTCCTCTCTCAACAGAGCCTCAGGGAGGCCTTTTCGGACTCAGAAGTAACTACTGCCAAACAGCGGCACCAACAAGTTCAGGATTATATGCAGGTATTGTGAAGCAAGGAACCAGGTGTGGCTCAGCATGAACAAACAGGCAGAGTCCAAGTTCTCTCTCTAGGTAACACCTTTATTTAGCACTGGACAAAGGTGAGTCCTGCCACAAGGCTGGAAGAACCCCGAATGCATTTGGAAGCAAGCATACATAGGTGTCTTAGTTCCACTTGGTTGCATAACAGGAACCTGGCTTATAGTAGATAAGGTACAGATGTTACAAAAATACTTGTGCACGCATCCTGTGGTTACGATCAGATGCTCAACTGCAAGCTTGTGGTTTCTTTATCAAAGGTTCCACAACTTCGAAGGCCTGCTAAGGCCTCAATTTTATTTCTATCATTTCAACATAAGAATATTTAGTCCACTTATCGGAATTATCAGAACCCCAATGAACCATATGAAACAGAAAATATGAGACAGAAAATGTGGGATCGATACGTATTTAACCGCTTGGCCAAGCTGTAGGTCCTAGTTGTGTCAATAGGCCATACTAATCAAATGAAATCTACCTCATGGTCATAGATCAGCCTAAGAAGGATGGAATATAAACAGCTAGTAACTTTAAAGGCTAAACATCTAAAATACACAAGGTTAAAAAACATTTTTAAAAAGCTAAAAAACATAAAACACATGAGCTAAAAGCTAAGATATGTATTTAAAAAGCAAAAATACATAAAAGAAATAAAAACATTAATTAAATGTAGGAAAACATAAAAGTTAGTACGCCACCAACTAAATCTATCGCAGTACAGGTAGTCCTCGCCTTACGATCACAACTGACCACAACTTTTCTATTGTTAAGTGAAGCAGTTGTGAAGTGAGTTTTACCTCAGGTTACAACCTTTCTTGCCAGTGTTGTTAAACAAATCACAGCAGTTGTTATGTTAGTAACATGGCTGTTAAGTAACCCTGGCTTCCCCATTGACTTTGCTTGTCGGAAGATCGCAAAAGGGGATCACATGACCTCGGGACACTGCGACCGTCTGAATTTTGATCACGTGACCATGGGGACGTTTCAATGGTTGTAAGAGTGGAAAACTGTCATAAATCACTTTTTTCAGTGCTGCTGTAACTTAGAACAGTCACGAAACGAACTCTTGTAAGTCGAGGCCTATCTGTACAAAAGAACTCCTAACCAAGTTAAATACTGATCAAGGCTGGTTTGAGATCGAGGTCATCAGGAAGCACT